AATAAAATAAAATAAAATAAAATAAAATAAAATAAAATAAAATAAAAGACATTTTCTGACCCTGGAGCATCAATCCGTTTATTTATTTTGCAGTCACTCAGCAAATCTTTACACATGCCGAGTTGAAACTTAATGCCGCATTATTATGTCAGATTTCTAAGCACGCTTGACCTTGCCTTTGTACTGAGGATAAAATCAAACATCCAGATATGGCCCACATATAGGACCAGGCGTGACCTGATACCTGCTGGCCTCTCAAACCTCATCCTGACCAGCTCCCCACACTTGCTGCTCTCCAGACACACAGCCAACAGGCTGAGCTCGAGTCCCACCTCTTGGATCCCCCTTCTGCCAGCTACTACTCACCTGCGGGCCCCTTCTCTTCATTCCTGACTCGGTTTAAAGCATCCTCTCCTCAGGAAGACGTCCCATTACCTCCGGATCCAAAATAGGCCAGTCCTGATCTTCCCACCCTTTTTGGTTTCCTTCGGAGCAATCTTTCTCTCTGCTCGGTCCATGGTGTACCATCCGTCCATCTCCCCAACTCCAGTGTAGCTCCAGAAAGTCAGAGATCAACTCAATCTTGTTCCCCTACTCTGTCCCCAGATCACAGGACAGTGGAACATGAAAGACATAGGAAACAGGATTGCCTTAAAGCAGCTTTCCCTGATGTAAAAGCAAAAAGTCCCGGTCAGATACTTCATTTCATGGCGGCAGTGGCAGCCCTTGAACTCAAGTTCTCATTTTTCTCCTGCCCCAAGCTCAAGTTCTTTCTCCTGCAACGAATCCGTGCCTCCTCCCTGCCAGGTGGCGATGCTCACCTGATCTGGAAAGGCGGCCTATGTTTACTCCCAGCCTGGAAAGGTCTTACCTGTTGGCTAGAGTCCTGCCTGCCAAGAAGGCACGGCTACCCCTGTCATCTAAGTGTGACGTGCCAATGAGCCCAGCACTCTGCGGGGCCCAGGTGTGACGGTCAGGGACTTCCAGGGGTTCCTCTGTCCGAGTTAGCAGGGACTCCGGTGACAGCCCGCTCCGCTGCCTAACAGATCCCCACCCATGCTGCAGTGACAGGGCCAGGCCACGCGCACAGCAGACGTCTTTTTAGTCTCAACAATTTTTTTTTCTTTACTCGATCATTTACAGATTAGAGAATTAATACGTATTTGTTGGAACAAGTGAAGCAACACCTAAAAACGTGAATAAAAGCAAAGGTAATTCATCCTCCCTGTCTCCCCTCATTACCACTCTCTGGAGATGACCGTGGGCATGCATGTATATGCCTATAACTATATATTTTATATATGCGGTAAAATATATATATATATATCATATATATAGTAATATGCATACTATATGTATAGTATATGTATTGCATATTACTGTATACACATACACACTATATATAGTTATATATACCAGGTATATAACATATTAACATATTTATAATTATATATATGATGTATTTATTTTAATTAATTTATCGTTTAGTGTTTTATTTATTCTTGAGAGAGAGAGAGAGACAGAGCATGAGCGAGGGAGGGGCAGAGAGAGAGCGGGACACAGAATCCGAAGCAGGCTCCAGGCTCCGAGCTGTCAGCACAGAGTCCGACGCGGGGCTGGAACTCACAAACGGTGAGATCATGACCTGAGCAGACGTCGGTCGCCCAACCGACTGAGCCACCCAGGCGCCCCATAGGACATATATTTATATATATTATTTTACATAACTGCGGTAATATACATGCTGGGCAATTTTAGTGCAGTATTTTACCTTTAACTAATTACCACTTATTTCTGTCTGTTGTTCCCTTTCCCAGATGTGGTCACTCCCGGGACTTACAGGAAAGCACAGGTGTGCACCTGCCATAAGTTCACACCTGTGGGCAGTGGCACCGGCTGCCCTTTGTGTTCTAAACACACCTGGCCTGGTCACGCTGGACTGGAGATGAGCCTTCAGAAAAGTGGCACTGCTGATGTTTTCTCTCTTCCGTGGCTGGTTTAGGGACATCTGAGGAGATGCCTGCACCCCAGCCCCCAGGGAGACCGCGGAGCACCCCCGGGGCACGATCTCTATCGTCTCCTATAGCTCCCGGGCCCATCTTGCTCCCTTTTGTTTCTAATTGGCTCCCATGTGGAGCTGCCGGTCCCTGTCTTATCTCTGACCTTGTCTATTCCCAGTGACCTTCTCAAGGTAACAGATCTTCAGGCCAGGTCTTCTTTCCCTTTCTTCACAGGTGTCCCTCCCTGCCCTCTCCTCTGGCAGAGCTCACGCAGGCGTTCATTGGTACCCATTTACTCAGCCCATTTGTCGGCAGGTACCATTCCCTCTGACCCTCACCCTTCCGGGTCACAAAACTGATCAACATATCTCTGTATCGCTTTGTAGGTTTTAAGCTTATTCGAATAGATTGCTTCAACTAATTCTTACAATAACCCTGTGAAACAGAGAGCAGTAAGTCTACTGGCCCCCAAAACACATAGCTCTTCAAAGATGTCAACAGTCAACTTGCAAAGCAGGCATTAAAATGGCCACATGAAAAAATACTCGGTTCAGGGGCGCCTGGGTGGCGCAGTCGGTTAAGCGTCCGACTTCAGCCGGGTCACGATCTCGCGGTCCGTGGGTTCGAGCCCCGCGTCAGGCTCTGGGCTGATGGCTCAGAGCCTGGAGCCTGTTTCTGATTCTGTGTCTCCCTCTCTCTCTGCCCCTCGCCCGTTCATGCTCTGTCTCTCTCTGTCCCAAAAATAAATAAACGTTGAAAAGAAAAAAAAAAAATTAAAAAAAAAAAATACTCGGTTCCACTACTAATAAAGGAGATGGCAAGTATACGAACATGGATATCTTTTGCCTGTGAATCAGCAAACACATAAAAGAAAGATAATACCGTTCAAGTTCAAGGGAGCAAAGTGGTTGTTCGCTAGATTGTTGCAGCCGGGAGTTCATATCGGTGCTACCTCTCTGACCCATAACTTGCCAACACACAGTGAATTAGAAAACCACGGAACCATGCAATTCCTCCTGTAGGAATTCGTCCCAAGGAAATAAACAAAACTGTGTAGAAAGTTTAAGCGACAAGGAGATTTTAATATGTGACTGATTAAGCGGAAGTCCAGTCATGCAATAAAGTGCTCCAAAAAAAATTAAAGATAACAAGCGGAAGAGTGTATAATATCAATATATAATATCATGCAAAGATTTTTATAGGAGTAAAAGCAAGATTACACCATAATATGTATTGTCTGAGTCCCGTATAGATGACAGATATGCATACAGATGTAAATATCATGCACCCCAAAATGTCAAGAAAGGCTACTGATATTTATTCTCTGTTTTCTAATTTCTTTCCCGTCAGCACGTATAATTTTGTAAAGAGAAAAATAAAATGATAACATTTAAGAAACTGCCCCTGTTCAAGTGGAACCCATTGCATAACTGAATATTCAACAAATACTTGATTGAACTTCTAAATACAAAGCAATCTGCTAGGTGATAAGGGGGCAGTGGTTAAAAATTTTTTTTTAATTAAAAAAAAAAAAAAAAAAAAGGAGGTGGTCCCTTGCCTAGAGAAGCATATTCTTGGAAAATGGGAGAAAGCCAGTAAAGCCTGCTGGTTTCAACGGGGGAATGCCACCAGGCACAGCTGGAGCTCATTACGCATTATTCTTCCCTAAACCCAAGAAATGGCCTCGGAGGATATCAATGCACCCAGTCAGGCTTGGGAGAGATTTAGCCTTGGAAATGGACCTGGATCTGAAAAAGCGGTTTCTGGGAGTGGAAAATGGAGAGAAAGCAAGAGAGTGAGACCCACCCCTGCTCTTCAAGCTCTTAGCTACTGTGTCTCCTGCCAGCCTGAGACAAAAGGCTGGAGTGGCCTTGGCTGTGGAAGAAATGGTCCCATGGGTTGCATGACTACAGACCTTAATGGGGAGGCCCAGAATGATCCGTCTTTTCAAGAAATGATTAGTGAAAACTCAACAAAATTCCCCTCAAGTGTCCCTCGAAGTCTGCTCCTCTCAGTCTGTCCCCACAGACGCCCCCTGGCATCCAGCTTCCTACTGTTCCTAGATGACACTCCCCCTTTAACTTTGTAGGATTGGAGCCACCTACACATACCAAACCTGTTTCCCAGCCCGAAAGCCTTCCATAGTCTGCAAAAAGTCTTTGCAGCCTCTAGGGTGCCATTTTGTTACCCCATGGGATCACTGTCATACTCAAGGCATCTGCTTTGAGTTGTTGTTCTTCCCACAAATGATGAAAAAATCTGTGTTGATTCTTCCCCAGAAGGCCACTTGTAAGCAGTGTTCATTTAGAGACCTGGCTGGGGTTCAGAGGGGGACCATGGTGAAGGGAACCAGCCCTCCTGAGGACTAAACTCGTGATCTCATTAGCACAGGGTTCTAATCAACCGAGCCGCTAGGCACATACCTCATTGAAGGCAGTAATTTGCTAAATGTTAATTCTTAGATTAACTACAGATGAGTAGAGTTCCACGGGGGGAAAAATGAGAGAGAATTTGTTAATTTGAGAAAGGAAATTTGGGTCATCAGTAAATGATTCCTTTGGTTAGTTTTAAGATACAATCCCAACGTCAGAAGATGATACTCATTGGGATCTACACCGCCATGATTTTTTTTTTTTTTTTATCAATATCTTGATCAGGAGAACTTCAAGGAAAAAGCAAATGGAGTCACGTCTGCACTTGCAAAAAAAAAACGTACACAACGATTTCCACATAGATCTCTCCATTGTTCCTTTTTCAAACTCAGGCACAAATGTTAGGTGGAAACAGGAAGGAAAGGTTTCCATATATCTGAGGCAGAGATGGTCCTCCTGGAAAAGCTGCACCCCACTACCTTTGCCCCCCTAGAACTCTAATTCCCGTGGAGAAAAGACCCTCCCTCTGTGGGGAAGAGAGCCCGCAACCCACAGCCCTGTCTCAAGGCATGCTGTAATCCACCGCATTTTGCCCTCTCATCCCCCAGCCTCCTCCCTGAGGAGGCAGTTTTGCAAATAGCAAATATGGTTTGGAACAAAGTTTTGACACTGACTCGGTATCCTGTGCTCATATTACATTTCTATGAATATTCCACCGACTTTTCAACTCTGAAGAACAAAGTTTCCGCTCTCAGGCTACATTTAGCATTCAGGCCATTTCAACTTCAGCGGCTCCCACCCTGACAGCGATCTTTGAAACTGATATGGCCCTGAAAGAAGCCAGAATAACTTTTAAAAATTATTAATAATAATAGGCTAGGTTCCCAGTCTTTGTAATCTTGTGGAAGAACCTCTGTGAGAAAGCACAGTGGGAATTGAATTGAATGTGTGCCCACGCTAGCTTTTCCATGGAAAAGCCTGCTTGCAAATGCATGGTTGTTTTGCAGGAGAATTTCTATGAACTGGAAGGGGATGGGAAAAACACAGCCCTGCTTTTGCATTTATCACCTTTTGCCCCAGGAGCTTTAAGGATTTTTTTTTTCAACGTTTATTTATTTTGGGGACAGAGAGAGACAGAGCATGAACGGGGGAGGGGCAGAGAGAGAGGGAGACACAGAATCGGAAACAGGCTCCAGGCTCCGAGCCATCGGCCCAGAGCCTGACGCGGGGCTCGAACTCACGGACCGCGAGATCGTGACCCGGCTGAAGTCGGACGCTTAACCGACTGCGCCACCCAGGCGCCCCGCCCCAGGAGCTTTAGGACCATCTTTAAACACCCAGGTCTCTGTCATTGTAAGACAAGCCCCACAACGTCTGGTGGAGAAAGCAAGCACGTACCAGGAGAACCCCAGCTCTGCCTCATGCCAGCTAGGGGCTGGTGGGAAAGTTAGGTATCCGCTCTGAGAGGTCAATTTCCTCACCTGTAAAATGATGATAATTATGGTTACTACAAAACGGTAACTGTCTCCACAAGAAATAAGGGACATAAAATTCTTTAGTCTATTGCCTGGAACACAGTAACTACTGATGGAAGCTTACCTGTTGCGGCTACTATCTTGCCTCTTGAGCAAACATGACTATCTCAGTGTGATATGTCTGCATTCCAGAGACCCCTTCCCTTATAAATCCAAAGTAAAAAGTGCTACGGTTGTCCATCCGTGAAGAAGACACTGATGACTGAAACGACCACAAACGAAGCTTGAATAGCATACACTCAGATCCAATAGCTAAGAGGGAGCGGCCCGAAATGAAGGTAGCGAGCCCCGATTCCTAAATAACGCCTTCAAAAATGTTTTCCTTTGAAAGCCATTATAAAATGGCATCAGAAACTTTCCCGACTAGCACGATCATGAAATCATAATTCT